GCAGGAACTGTCACCTGCAGAAAGTTAGCTGTTCACAGAAAGTTTGGTGCCTGGCTACTCACTTTCTGTGTACTGAGATATATTTCAGTTTAGATCTCACAAATACCTGAACTTCTACCAATATAGCAGTATGTGGTAGGGGTATTTTAGGTCATGTCTATCCTGACCTTGTTTGCCAAGCTGCTGAGTGTGCAAATTAGCTTTCACGCCTGGTTTGAGCCATATGCGTCCATGCCTGTAGGGACAGGACATGAATTGAGTCAATACTCTTCCCTGCCCATTCCTCTCCTGAGTTTCCCTATCTTGCTCACACCCAGTTGAGTCTAGGGCTTATTTCACTCACTGCAGACTCGCAGCACTGTGGATAACCTGAGCCTCTGGCTTCAACTGCGCTCTAACCCTGAGTCAGCATGAGAACATACACTGTTCTCCACACATGATTTCTCCACTGCATCTCCTTCCTACCTCTTGCTATACTCTTTATTTTGCAAAGGCTCTGGGTCTGATTCCCCATCATTTGACATACTATTCTTATATCAGTTAGGAAACTTCTCTAACAAGCCTGTTTTCTGAAAGGTGCTTTCCAGTCAGAGTTCAGTCTTTCTGTGCCAGTATCTGAAGGGTAAGGTATTTTTTCTACCTTTCTCCTTTTCTGCTGGGAATGATAGAAATGAGGATTCTATTAGCTGGTCTACCAACAAAGAAGGGGGCCATCAAAGTGAAGTTAAAGCCATGCTTTCACATTACGGCTAAGATAATCTGAAGCCAAATGCTGCTTAAAGCCCCATCCCTTTCCTCCATCCCCCTTCCTGATATGCCATTCCTCCCTTTGTACCAGCACTGGTCTGACCAAGGTGAGAGATTTCAAAGAGCAAAGCCATCACAGCTAATAATTTTTTTGAAGAGAGAGTTTTCTATTAGTTTAGCTTCCTGATGCAACTTACCACACGAGTGGGGAAAACTGCTACAGACACTGCTCAAGAAGCTGTGGGAGCCAGTGGCTGAGGGAGAAGGCATACAGGAGGGAAGGGGCCTGGTCCTTTTGGTTTCAGTTAGCCACTGATTGCCTTAAATGAAACACAAGACTACATACTAAATCTCTGTAAATGAGTACAGGAATGTCTTCATCCTACAAGTGATCAGGGTACACAGGATATCATCCTACAGATACTCCAACACTGAAAATTCCGGTATTAGGCTGGAAATTACATTCACAACGGAACATGAAGACCTGGCCTGGAATTTTGAGCTTTGCTTGTTGCAAAAGTCATTACATCTCACAAAACCTGAGGAGCTATTGCATTAGAATCAACATTACTAACCTGAAGAGCTTTTGTTGTCATCAGTCCTCTTCCTGTATCTGAAGCAGGAACAAAGAGGATGCTTATAGTAAAACACAGAAAACTAGGATAAGCTGCAAAAAATTAACAGGCCAGCAAGGAAAAGCTCTAAAAGAACATACATTCTCTCTTACAAATCATAAAAGCCAATTATGGATTGTTCCAGATGTATACGTCATTTCTTTGTTCTCTGATTCTCTTTTTACTTTTCAGGACCCTGCGAAAGCCCTTCCCCTGCATCCTCTGCAACACTTGATGTCCAGTTCTAGCAATTACTTGACTCATTTTCCCCAATTTTTTTCTTTGAACACATCTTTCATCACTGGCTGCTGTTCTTGGTTTCAGAGTTTTAACTAAACATTACCATTTCTATTCACAATATTTTTTCTCTGATTTATACTATTTTCTCTTTAATATTGCAAAAGTTTTTGAAACATAGTCTATTTAAAGAGAAAAAATACAAGTAAATACATTTACTGTAAACAGTACTAAGTGAATCCCAGCCCTAAAATTATTTACTTTTCTGCATCACTAGATCTGCTGAACTTGCATGGAAAAAAACATGAAGAAATTATAACAAAGTTAGGTTCTGATACTGGAAACACTGAAGAGATATTACCTTCTTTAAAACTGTGCTACTAACAATAAAATCTTGATTTCTACAAGGAATTCAACATAGGTGTTCACGTTTTGTAGCATAACAGAGTATTCTCACACTAAAGTTTTACACGAGAGCATCTTTATATAAGAAAGAGTTTACAGTACTTCAGGCCTCCATACCTACTTGTTTAGGTTAAATGACATTCATGTTTGTACACCAGAAGTCCTTAAAGGACTAACAGTAACTGGCTTTTTTTCCTGATGCTAGCCAGGTGTTGACTCAAAATGAAAACAGGAATCTAACATTCTTAGAAGAATCAAATATGTATGACCAATAAGTAACTAAAACATTACCCCAGAACTGTGCTGGTCTTAAATTACTGTCTTCAAATCCTCTGTCTTTCAGCCACTTCTTAAGCTTAATGTATTCCAGCTTGTGACTGCAGTTGACTAAAAAAAAAAATTAAAAAAAAGAGAGGGTTAATGATATAAAACAGCACTATATTGGAAAATAAAGGAAATTGAAGAATTTTATTGTATGGTCAGAAAAACTGGGGTTTGGACACTTTAGTATAGCATAATAGAATAGCAGGAAAAGTTCCCCTCAAATTAGCTTAATAAGTTTTAGGTGTCTGAGTACTGTGAGCTCTGAGAACTTAGGAGCTATTCAGCATAGTCAAGGGTCAAAGAATTTAAGAATGATGTAGTACTTCCCATTAGCCAGAAAAGAGCTCACAACATTCACCATACTCTGCTTGGGACTGTAAACCAATGCTAGAATATTTGTGTAGAAAAAGCTAATGTTTATGAATGTTATTTTCAAAGCACAAAGGCATTTGAGAAACATGCACCACGAAATGACACCTTGACAAACAACTGGTTATTTTATTACTTAGCAGTACTTCCAGGAATAGTACCTCCATCCATATAACTCTGCAAGCGTTTTCTTCTTCTCTTGCGACCTGTCCGGCCTCTGTTTTTCTTCATATCAAGAAACAGATTTTGCCTTATTTAGACAACCTGAATTAAAAAAAAAAAGTAACTTAAAAACATTTAAAGTCCCTTTCAAATACTGCATGTTTCTTGTATCTCAGTAAGGGAGATCGGAGCACTCCCTGTTTAATAATCTGCCTCTTTAAAGTTTAGAAAACGCACTACAAGCAAACTCCTGAAGGCGGGTGGGTGACAGGAGACACGAAGCCTCTAACCCCAAACACCACCCGGGCCACGGCGCGGCCATAGCCCGCCAAAGCCCTTGCGCTTCCCCCCC